GAGACTAGCTTTTTTGCTAGGTTTTTGAACCCCACGAAGACCATATTATTTTTCAATACAGAATAAATTTTGCCGAGAAAATTTTCCTCAGAAAAGTGTTATTGTTCACAATTTCATGGATTTCAATATTGAAAACTTTACTCTAAATACTCAATTTACAAATTGAATATGATTTTTATATATCTAAAAGCTATAGGCATTCTGCACGCCTAGTTCACCCATCTCCTTACCATGCAAGCCGATTGCTTATATGTATTATTTAGAGAACGAGACGGGTTCTGTATCGTAGTTTCTTTGGGGGTGGACGAGTGAGTAGCACGAGTTTCCGCCCCCAAATTTGTATCCACGACACAGAACCTGCCGAGTTCTCTAAATGATTTGTGACACGATCAATCAAAAAAGCACCTCCCACTCTTAGCTGTGCATCATCCGCAGTATATATATTTCTACGGACAACGTAAGATGCAGTCAGATTAGTTTTGACAGTGGGGTAGACGTAAGTCTTAATGAATAAGGTGGACGATTTAATCTTCTTGCAGATGGAGATTGATCCTAATATACTCGGTTTAACTAGATACAAATACAGGTGATACAGACAGCTCTTCGATGGACTTTGATGTCACGGATTTTTATTTTCTTATTGAAATTCGAGGTCAGTGAAAGAGATGTGCGAAAGTCGTCAGCGATGAGGATTTAAAATGAAATTTTAGAGAATAAAAACGAGTGTGCACGAGAAGAGTGAAAAAAGGGGGGATCGAATTTCACTTAATGGATGCTGCAACCGTGAACCCATTGGCTATACCATTTTGAAGGGGACACAAAAAAGCAAGGAAAGAGAACAGGTTTTGAGGAATTTATCCAACACAGGATGATTTCTATAATTGCGAATTTTCCTTTTCGTTTGAAATAACGTATAGATTCTGTGTGGAATAAATTTTTAAAGAGAAAATTTGACATTTTACATTCCCAGGGAAATATTTCTCCAAGATTCATAACAGGAAAAAAAATCAGCATTTACTATTTGTACGTGCTTTTGATAAATTAATCAGATTTGTTTTTAGATCGTGCTGTACTTTAGATACAGAATAGTTGGCTAATACAACACAGTATACAGGGCTAATACAGAACGGAAAATAGCTCCGCCCACTGTAGTCCCATTCTGTATTGCTAATACAGAACAGCAAACTTCAAAGAAAAACACCGCAATCGTGTCACAATTGTAAAAAAGTCATTATAACGACCATAGAATTTACAAAATGCTGATTAAAACGAGATTGTTGAAATCCCTGTAACATCAACTTACTAGTCAGTAGCCTGCATCGATTTTAAAATAGATCGAACTCACTGCTCTTAAGTAGCGAATAAGTTGGGCGACATTTACTCTATTTGTAGGAGATAGTGGAATATTTCTACATAAATAAGGAAAATTGACGATGGAAAAACCCGAAGTCATCTCGTTTATTGTTAGTTGGCCCTTAGTCAGTAAAACATCAAAATTTGAAAAAGTTGTGGCAGACTGTGGTGTCTTTATGTCAAGTTCACTGGGATATACCAAGTCGACACATAAATGAAAATAACTATTGTTAATTGATAAAATGCCGTCGATATAATTATCTGATGTCGAGTGCAAAGTCACTGCAAGTGTTTTCTTCTCATGTAGAACTTTTTTAAAAATAAGTTTTATAAGCTTTATAGAAATAAAAATAGGTCGGCTAATAACAAAAAGAGTACAATCATTGTCAATCGAAATTCCAACAGTTATCCTTTCAATATCAACTTCAGAGTACTTGTTTGTAGAATTAGAGTGATTTTTAACAAAGTAATTCTGCAGTTGATGACCAATCACAAAATTTTAAAATTTCAAAATTCCATTCTTATTGAAGAAGCATTTGTCTCTGATATCAAAATGCCTAGTTTTTAATTTATCGTAAGGAATGGTTGTACGATGTGTAGAAAAGTCGTAAGTTTTTACGTTACTAACTCATGGCCGTCGGAACCAGGGGCACAGGGGGCCGTGCCCCCCCCCCCCCCCTAATTTTGCCGATATGAAATACTATAGAAAACATAGCTGGTATATGCCTGTGCCTCCTCTATAACTTAATAATGCCTGATGACTTTTTTTTTGCTTGTCAATGAATTTTAGTAGGTCATAGTGCCCCCCCTCTCAACTGAAAATGTATGGCTGTGTCCCCTCAAAGTGAAATTGCTTCCTACGGGCCTTTAACTATTTTTAAAAAAAATGTGATTTGGGGTAATTTTTAAGATTTGTAAACAAACTTATGTTGTTTTAGAGAATCCACATTTGATTTACACAACTTCTAAAATATACTGTAGCACAGTACGTCTGTAGTTTCTCTTTGACACCAGTTAGTATATTTTATGAGAGTAAAGATAGAGGCCAGGTATAGACCTGGAAATGTATCTGTTTGTCAGGACTTTTATGAAGTTCGGAATCCAATACATATAGTAAGGGCAGATTAAACTCACCTTGGTTGACTGGAATGTTGTAAGTATTTAAGACTGAATTGTGATGTTTAAGAATTTCATCCTATGAAACTGCTAATACATCTTTTGTTCTCCCTGACTTTAACAATCGGGAGTTCTCAATTGTACGTAGTTAGGTTCCCCTTTTGTCTGACCCACTTTTACTGTTTTGCTCCTGTCTCTCACCATTTTCATTCTTGGATTTTCGTCTGTTGAATCATTCGTGCAGAAAAAATTATTTGAAAATTGCTTGTGTAGTGTTACTAGTGTATACAACCAGCAAAAATGGAAATCATTGCTGAAAACTGAATGCATTCACAGGTTATTAGAACAAGAGGCTCATGGGCCTTGACAGTCACCTGAGTATCATCAGTTCCTCAAGCTAAAAACACTCTGGTCCTATCTGGTCTTCATTAATATGACACATTTTTTTAAAGATATAAATAAAATTAGCAAAACCACAATATATATGTTCCCTCTTATATCTATAAACCTGAAAACGGACTTGAACTAAAATTAAGATTTTTCAATATTTTGATCACTGTTGGTTTTTAACAAACTGAAAAAATGTAGGTTTTTGTGACAGAAATTTTGTTCCATTTTCAAAATTATTTCAAAAGTTAAACTAATTTGAAATTTGACTCAAGTCTATTCTCTGTTTTCACAGAAACTTTTAGTACATAACCTTTCTTCCAAATTGAAAAAAAAAAGGATTTATGGAATTATGAACCTTGCATCTTCGCTAGCCAAGGGTTTCTGATATGCTACTCTCCTCATAAACCCTTGGCATACGGTGCTGACAAAAGACGGGATTATTTTTGTCACGTGATCATGATTCTTACCAGGTACGCACAGATTGCGTCATCGACAGAAATAAAAAGTGTATTTAAAAAAGTTTGTTTTTAAAGAATAACTAACAAGAAGAAATCTAGTTATGTTAATTTGTTATTTAAACATGTAAAAAATATTAATGCATATTAATAATCTACATCTTCAGTATAGATTCTTAATCACATATTTTGCACGTAGCTTTAGATATTGGATGACACCATATAGCTATTCATAGAATGGCATGTTATCTTACGGATCATTTTACTTGCGTTTTACATTACCGATATGAAAGAGTCAAGATATATCCCGAACGCAAATATCGTCATTTACAAAAAACAATTGCTGATTGGTCGAACGATGTCGATCAACTCCAATCAGAACTTGAGAAAAAAATCCTAACTTTTTTTAACACCGTATGCCAAGGGCTTATGAGGAGAGTAGCGTATCAGAAACCCTTGGCTAGCGAAGATGTGAACCTTGATGTACTCTGCTTACATGTTTAGCAAGTTTCATTGAAATCAGATAAAAACTGTTAAGTAGTTGCAGCATTTTGAAAAGCTTTTCACAGCTAGACAGACAGACAATGGACACCTTACTAATGCACAAACTCTAATGTTTTCTGACCAGTAGAGCTAAAATTCATTTGTAATTTAACATTCCATAGGGCACTAGAATTACTAATTAATATGATACTAAAAATGAAGTTGATATTTAATCCCGTTTTAACTCCTTTTGAAGTATTTTCACAGAATTATACTTTATAGCCCCTCACATTAAAAACATCATTTAAACTTGGCTGCAGGAGCTTTTCCACCAGAACTTCTAGCTTCTCCACTACAAAGAACTCGTTACACCTCAACCAATAATACCAGAAATACCTGTACATGAATATTTTAATATATGTAAATCATCATTAGAAATTCTACAAAACAAGAGGCCCATGGGTCTTGGCAGTCATCTGAGTATCATGACTTTCTCTGGCTATTACCACCTGTACCTGGACCTCTGAATATAGATTTACATAGGTAATGTGTTTTCAATATATACAGTTTAGTCTTACCCTGCGGCCTAAATGCTTGGATTAGGGTACACATTTTCTTAAGTACTCACTAAAATCATATAATCAGTTTTCCCACTAGATGCCCTTTAGAAAAGATTTTTTAAAGATGTGATAAATTTATGACCAACTAAGCTCCACACTGGAGGCTTAAACTGAAGCCATAAGTTAAATTTTGGTAGTGGTCATAGAATTTATTATAATTATAAAAATGGCTTGCCTACTAAATATTCATGACTAAGATTTTTAAAATGCTTCTTTTTTTTGTTTTTAAATCTGTTACCAAACTAAGCCACACCCTGTACCAGGGCCTGTATCATTAACCCAGGGGCCTTGACATTCACAGTTTTTGTAAATTGTTGATTACCCATTTTACAATACATGCAGTTTGTTACATGTCTGTGCATAAAAAAGAGTATAAGATTCTGTTATCAATATGTGCTGTATACCCTTGATACTGAACCCAGGAGCTATTAATTTCACAATTCAGTTGATGGTAAAGGGTTCATTCTCCTTTAATATTTATATCATGAGAGCAGTTTGTCTAATGTCCAGAAGTCATCATTTAATATATATCAGACTTTGTTGAAATGCAGCTATCACAGAGAAGAACCTACATATTCAAAAGTTCACTACCAAAACATATTACACAATGACAAAAACAGATAACAATAGGTTACCTAAGTGAAAAAGGTGACCTAATAAGTGCTTACCTTTGAAAAAAAAAAGGTTACAAAATGCAAAGCCAGAGGCCCAGAGGCCACAGTACTCACCTTTTTTGATCATCATTTCAATCATGTTATAAAGTAATTGAAATTCTTCACACATAAATGGGTATTTGTTCTGACTTACTTCTTCAAAAAAATGCAATTCATGGGTATTTACACCTACCCACAAAGTGGTAAATTTTAAAAACACTCATTATTTCTATACACCTTGGCACTAAGGGATTTCATTTACTACTGGATATTTAACCTGGCTAAAGATTCTGTCTACATAATTTATGGCTATCTCTATCTTTCCATTTTATACAAAAACTTGCAATTTTCTGTAAATTAAAATATATGTATTGATAAATCATTTTTTTTTTAAATTGAAAACATTTAGTTTAAATAATACACTGTGACCATGTGAAGGATTCACATCATTATTAATCATCATTTCCTGAGAATAAAAATTTTAGAGAAAATTGAACTTTGTTTCCCAAAGTGACGAAAACAAGCTTTGATTAGAAATAGTTAAGCATTATTCTGAGGACCAAACTGAAAAGAATTTAATACAGGTGAATGCAAAAAAAAGCCTTATATTTACAGTTTATCTAAATGTCAGTCACAAGAAACATCACAAGTTCGCCCTCCATGTTTCAAAAAGCTTCCATCAATGCTGTCTTGGGAGCTGTAAATTGAATGGGTACTCTCCTGTGAACTCATAACATAGTCTGAATCTTCCATCTCTGTTTGCTCCTCTTTAACTTCAAAGACACTAGATACAGAAATTTTACTCAATGCTTCACTATGGCTATTGGAATATAATGCTACTGGCTTGACCACTTTGTACAGGCTAAATTTCTGACTGGAAGTGCTTTCCTGTGAACTGCAGGGCTGGCTGTCTGAGTCTGTTAATTCCATGTGGACATATTTCTCCTTTGAAAAACTCAAATCAAGAACCTCAGAATCCTCTTCCCTTGCACTAGTATCAATATAAAGACGATCAGCTTCATCGTCATCATCATCATCATCTTCATTACCACTGTCTGTATCACTGCCACAGCTATCTGGAGCAATAATCATTGCTTCAGGGCCATTTCTTGGACTGCTGGAGGATTCAGAATGCACACTTGTGTTACTGATAGACAAGCAGTTAATGCAGCCTCCCTCTGAATTTGCACAGGAACAAGAAGAGACATGGCCAGAAGAGCGGATAGTCTGGAGAAGTTTCTCCTTTTCAATAAGCAAGTTTTCAACTCTAGCCATTAAAATCTGACGACGCTGCCTCAATGAATTTTCTTCCTGTAAAATGCAAAACAAAAAAAACAAAAAAAATAAAAATAAAATAAAATCATTTAACAGGTTCAAAAAGGCTCAACTGTTTGAACTTTTATTTTCTTTCTAAAATTCTATCTTCCAGTTGATATCTTTAAGATCTGACTAACTTTTCCTTTAACGTACTTCACTAGACACCAGCATTAGAAGCAAAATTCTTTATTAATTCCTTTTTAAGTTTGTTACCTTGGTTATATCCATTTTTGGAAAGTTCACATGATTCTCACAGTTTTCAACTTTACAAACACTTTCTGTACTCATAAATTTCTCATAGGATGCAAACAATAACCCAAAAAATCAATCATTCTTGACATAATAATATTGTTATGTACTAAATTATGCATACTTTTTGCAAACATTTTAGTTCTTCTTTTTTACGTTCCCTACACCTCATTGCTGCTCGACGGTTTTGTTCTTTCCTTTCCCTCTGCTTTGTTTTCTCCTCTGGGGTTAACTTTTTAAAAATAAATCAGTAACATAAGAACATATTCTGATTATAGAAACCGATATATACAAAAACAATAACGTGGCATAAGATTTATAAATAGAAACCAATTTGTTTTATATTGTTCCACCCCCACATCAAAATGGATACTCGATTTATTCAATTGAATTTAAATATAATGTATCCTATAAAAAAATCCTTCTAATACAAAGAAACAAATTCATCAAAATTTATTATACATTTTATGAACTGTTCTCAATATCTACTCAAGTATGCACGAGTTATTCACGACGTCCTTTTCTTGGCGATGTGCCAAATTTTTTAATGCATCAAATGTACACTTTATTTGCAGAAATGCAATTTTTCACGTTCCGTCTTACCTCGCATCTTGACTTTTCCACAGTAAAATCAACATGCAAATCGCTCTTTCCTTCTGCAATTCTCCGTGACTTGATCAGTGATTTCAATGTTTGTTTTACCGTGTCGGTCGGCTGGTCGGACTTGGGTTTCGAAAGGTTCAGTGGCTCCGTCACTGAAGACGCCTGTGTCCACTTATTTCCACCCTGAATGGTTTTTGCCATCTTATATACTTTTTCCAAGTTCTTTACAATGCTAGAAATTCAAAAACGCAGGTATAATGCATTTTTTGTTACAAAAGGGTACGCGATGAGGTACTTCCTGTCCAATTTTCACAATAAAATTCGAATCAACTCAGTGTAATTTCCGGGATAATTACACATGTTTCTGTTGAAAAAAGGCATCATATAGCCTTGGTTTCCTAGTGGTACGTGCTAGATCCGGATCAAGACAGTGTGAGCAACAAACTAGTTTTACTGTCCTTTATCTAGCTGCATAAATACAACTGAAAGATGCCTATCCTAATGTTTACGTCGTTGAGTAAGTCCTAAAAATAGATTTGCACTGAAAAATATTCGATCATATGACTTATATACAAAGAAAGAAATTGTAAGAAAAAAAAGATTAGAAACAAAGTTATGTTTATTATGATCTGTGGAAAAAACCTAAGATCTCTAAAGGAGGCAAATTCAAGATCACAATGTTAAAAAAAACGAAAGGAACCAGTCTCTACAGGAACCGGGTCCGGGGGTATTGAGGATATTTTTAAACAAACCCAATAGCATCGAATTTATATTTTGTTCACACCCTAGCCCATCCAATCCCAAAAAGTAGGATTTAAAAAGCCTCCCCTTTACGAAATTAGATTTTGCCACCTTCCACGACACCCAAACCCCTTATTTCCCAATGTCCACTCCAATTGAACACCCCCTTTCCCAATGTCCATTCCACCTGAAAAAATATTATACAGTAGAGAAAAGTTGTACATATTTTTTGAATTGTTGGAAAGCGGACCTAGAGAGAGAGAGAGAGAGAGAGAGAGAGAGAGTCCAAATGCTGTAAGCATTGTTTTGCAAAATGAGTAAGGATATATCAGCTGTAAAACAACGTGCTTAGTTTTACTATATTCGTACATTGGAAAAAGGGGGCTGGGGTTTATGATGAACCTTTATAATATTTATCTTACATTTACCTTAGCCTGCGTTTGGTTCCCTAAGTATTGGGTATTCTCACAACTTCAGGGGTCAAGCATGTGTCAGCTCGATCGTTCCCATGGGACAACGGCAACGAGTTGACACAGGACCCCTGACGTTGTGAGGATGCACATATAGGGTAATGCTGATGGTAAAAGTCACTTCTGCTGATTTGCTATAATGAAATTGTGCTAAAATGTATGATAACTTCATCAATTCACATGAAATCCCTCCGAATTTAATAGATTGCTTATGTTGTTAGATACAAATAATAAAATATGACTAAAATTTATACATCAAGATGAATAGGTTACAAATAAACAATTTGAAAATCTCCTACCCTCAAAAGCTGTAGAGAGCCCAGTTTAACATGTGGGAAAAGCATGATTAAAAATCAGTCATAGAGGCATGTACTCCCTGGTATTGAAATTTAAAGAAAATGAGTCTGATTTTTTTTTCTAGGACGAGGAAAGCTCTGCATAAAAACAGAATCCTTGTCCATCGTAATGAGCGCAAAATTAACATATCTGAAGATATCAGTTCATATATAGTTTGTTCCAGTTTGATTAAAACCAGCTCCCCCTTCTACGACGATAGGAAAATGGGTTGGGGTTGGTTCAGACTGAGTATGTTCGCAACACAAATAATTTATGATATTTTTAATAAAATTCTCATTAATTTATTCAATTGTTGATATCATTAATCAGTTTGCCAAATCAATTAAATTATCGCACTCTTCAATAAAAAGAAATGCGCACAACAATTCCAATTGATGCGCGCGATAATTCTTTTAACAAAATCGCTGTGAAATAATTAGAGATAACTTCAGTTCAATAAGAGATCAACAAGTTCATCTAATCACTCAAACCAAAATATTGGTACATGAGTTACAACACAGCATTACAGAGGTACGTGTTCAATATATAACATTCATAACAGAAAGTGAAAAGAAACAAATAAATCAAGAAGGACATATCAAAAATCATTTATACAAAAATATATATAAATTTTGGCGGACAATAGTTATTGTTCATTGTTGAGCTCAACAATCAAAGATATCTCTAGACGCTCAATATACATCTTAATTTACAATCCGAGAAGGAGACGGGGGTGGGTGGGGGTTGGTGGTGTCGGCAGCTTTTATATTTTCTTTTGTTCATTTTTAGTTTTTACGTCTTTTTTGTTTGTAAGCATTGTCATTAATAACATGTATGCATAGCAGAATACATGATATTCATAATCAACATAGACGAAAAAATAATATAATATACATATATTGGTGAAAACTAAATATGTATTATAATAGAAATAAAAGTAAAAGTTCATAATATTTTCACTTAACTAATACATGTACACTTGAAAACACAGATAAAGTACTCTATTATTATAACATACCCTTGTTCCTTAGCTTTGATTTCAGGTTGATGCAGATTGGTTTGAAGTCTGTAAAGTTGCGCTAAAGCTCATTCAGTTTGTAGGAGGGAGAGATTAGTGGCCGTCTCATTTTATACAAGTTTCTTTAAAAAAAGTTAAGTAGAGTGAGTTCTACGATATATCTGCAAAGTTTTTCTTTTTATTAATTACCTTAATTTCCTAGTAGTAAATTAATTTCTATGAAGACAGATAAATATAGATCATGTAAAATATTAAACCTCTCTTTAATATTTTTTTTATTATTTTATTATATATATATATATATATATATATATATATTTATATTTATATTTATATGTTTATTCAATAATCAAGGCTCTCAGGGGGCATATACTATTATTTCAGTATGATCACATTTAAATAATATTAAAATATCGTAATATGATAAAATATTAATCATTTATACCATGGAAGTACAAATGGAAGATGTACAATACCACAAGTAAGATGCTGGTGAAAATGCAAGATTTGTAACATATCCACAGTTGTCTGAAACTGGATATTTTTTTTTTTTTGAGTAGGTAGAAAACCACATGAAGATAAGGAAAAAGATGTTTTTAATTTTCTAGATTCATTAATTTAACATTCCCAAGATAGTTAGAGCAATTATTCTTTGTTTTGTATTAAATCGTGGTTCTTTTTATTTACGTTATCATTTCATTGTATACGTTCTTTATTTAAAAAAAAGACAAAACACGACAAGATAAAGAAACAAGATTAATAAAACAAGCAAACAAAAACAAGTGTTATAAAAACAAACATAAAAAATGGGAATGCAATTCATATGCTCAGAGTCAGAAAACCTTTTAGTGAATCTGAGTAAAATTCTTCAATTTCCCCTCCTTCGATAATTTAAAGAAGCATACATTTCAATTTGTTTGTTTGTCATCATAAAAAAAGTGAAATAATCTATTTATCTACTCAGATCCACATCAGCTAGAAATGAGCGACAGATGGCGTACGAAGATCGACCAACGTATCAAAATAGGACAGGCAATTGCAAACAAGAAGTTGTGAAAAAAAACACACACACATGTTTCAGTGTAATCCTTTGAGGCAAAGGAAACAGAGGTTTGTATTTTATACCTGCAAGAAAACAGAGGTATGTATTGAAAACAGAGGTACGTATTTTATATCTGCAAGAAAATAGATTTAAGAATTTTGTTTAAATGCTAAATAATGAAAAATAATACAAGATTCCAGATTGTAAATTTTCTAGTTCTCAGTCAAAAACAAAATGGGGGTTGGGTGGGGTGTAAGCGTATGTTTTTACAAACATTTTTATTTTTGTTTACTAGTACAAATATATATATATATATATATATATATATATATATATATATATATATATATATATATATATATATATATATATATATATATATACTTTGTCATATGATTATAAAACTTAGGATCGCAAAAAGTTTATGTGTAGGTCAACAGACGACCTATTTTTGATGTTTGTTAATCCTCGGAATGACATAAGCTGCAAATTAAATGCACATAATTAATATCTTATTTCTCGTTACATGTATACACAGAAGGTATTAGGAAATTATTATTGAAATTTAATATTAAATAAGATAAACCGAAAGTTTATTATCAGTATTTCCGCACTATATGAAAAAAATCACTCATCATATGACAAATATAGATTTCCATTCAGTTATTTTGTGTCATAACACTGTCAAAATAGATACAAGTTGAAATTTCAATTTATGAAAATAAAGCGATAAAACTTCCCTTTAGATATAGAAGATGAAATCACTCTTTTTTATTGGTCAGGCACGCTCTTATTCCACTACCTGTATCTAAGGAAACTGGAAGAAAAAATACCCGTTTCTAAGGAATAAACTTTTTCTTGGTAACGTATCAAAATATTGGAAAAGCTGAAAATTGGACAGATAGCCCAGTATAGGGGTAGAACGCTGGATTATACATTTTTGGAGGTTAGTATTTTAAAAATACCTATATTTCTGTTGATATTATATAGAACACAATTATATCAATTTTAATATTAATAAAATATATGTGAAGAAATAACAAAGCTATTCAAAAACTTTTTTTCAATAATTAGCTTAAAGTGTAAAAGGTACCACCTTACCATGTCATCGTAGCATTTGGAAGACCCGCTTATAGCTGTCAACCAGTTTTCTCCATTTGCGGTTGTGTTGGATTATCATCTGTAACATTCAACAAGGGAAAAAATTACTTTTGATCTGGTGTTTCAAGATACATGTATTGAATGAGATCGAGGGTGTCATGCACTGAAATTTATTTACCATCGCAAAAAAGTGACGATATTTCCAAGGATCGGCGTATCTTCCAAAGGCGGTCTGGGATATTTGAGTCACTTTAAATGAAAGTAAGAGTTATTTGAGGCTGAAGATAAATATGGATATCTAGACAATTGCTCACAATAACTTTTGTAAAAGCTTCTTAAACTTACAACTGAATTTTTTTACTGATCAACTTTTCCCGTAAGTGTTGAATTATTGCCTTTTTCTCTTTATATCTGAAGTACAATAAGAAATTCTACTAGTAATTCAATATTTTGATTTTAGGAAATTTACCAGAGTACAAATACTAAGGAATTGCAGAAAAGATGCCTCTGTCGACCTATCTGAACTAATTCTTACTCAGAGCTGTTGGAATTAGATCATTTCTTCACACAATAATAATTTTTTGTCTTCAATAATGGGGAGTATGTAAGTTACCAGAACTTGTGGCCAATCCCACTGACATATATTTATTATCAATTATATCTTTCTGAATTTTCATAAACATGTATTTGTCTTTCCTTTTTTATTATTTGATTTTTTTAATTTCAGATTTCCTTGATTGATTTATTTTTCCCTTGGAAGTTTGTCGACATTTTCAAGTTACTTCCCTTCCACCCTACAACAACTTTTCTTGAAGGCAAGTATCTTTTTTCCCTTCCCAATATTTCTGTTCCCCGTAAAAACAAACATTCAAATTTTAGCTTTATATTTATTAATGAGTATATGATATTAATGAATATAATGAAATTTCATTTCACACTTGAACATATATAGTATGATTCTTTGCACCAATTTACCCGTTTATTGGCACATAGAAAAATCAAGAAAACAATATATATATATTACAATGTCATGTATAATAAAATTTTAAAAATCAAAAAAGAAAAAAAAAACTATTTACAAACATTCGAGATCTTCTGTGAAAACTTCTGACCAGAGAACATGTCATGTCTGTAATACAAACCTTTTCAAGATTTACACAACTGTTAGTATATACTATTCTAGCACTATGTTAGCGCCATGAAAGGCCAATAAGTCAAAAACAGTATACTCTGAAAGAATTAAATGAAGGGGGAAAATTGTCTTTTACTAATTCCCCCAAAATAATATGTGTATTGAATATTGTGCATACAAAAAAAAGTTTCCTGACTTGAGACAACATACTGGCGCAAAAAAATATCCACGCGTTCATTGAACACATCTTTCTATGAATTATGGAAAATCAACCTTCTCAAGTATTTTGTGCGTGAGATGCAGTCTGATGTACTAACATGTTTTTTTTCATATATCATGCAAATTTGTGCAGGAAACGTTTTCACCATGCTGGGAAAACTCGTCGACAGTTTCATTCATATTTCCTTGAATGACGTACTGGTTATCCCTGGTAATCAGGTCTAAAACAAATTCTAGTCCACTAAATGTTGTTATATTGTCACCGGCAGGGATGTCATTGTTGTCCGGAGTGCTCACCGGAAGTGGTATCCCGGTTTGTTGACGGCTTTCAGTGAACTCTGATTGAGAAATGAACTCTGCGTTGTTCGTTTGATTGGCAACTGGATACTGTGAGAAGTCGATAGAATTTTCGATGCTGGTAAACGGTGTAATATCAATGTTTTCAAATTCACTCCCAAAACAGCCATCGAGATTCGTATCGTAATTGGTGCAAGGATATTCTGATGTATCACCGTTTTCCCATGTTGTTTCAGGGGGTGCACAGCACACTTCTTTGTCAGCAATAGTGTACATTTCATCTTGTTGCATATTGGTACTGAATGGATCGGGAGAGAAAGTGAAAGTTTGACCGGGTGTGTGTGGAGTCGTTGGGTTTGGTGTATCGGGTTCAGGAGTAGAAGACATACCGGTATCGAAATGTGGTGACAGGCACGCGCCAAATGGTAGTAAACGTGTGTTTTCTTGGATGGGTACAAAGGTACTCTGATGTCTGGTGCAGTGTGGGAGATGGTTCCGCAGATCTTCCTCCAACTTTTGTTTTTCTTTTCGTAACTCCTCTACCATTATGGTGAGACTATCATGTCTATCCTTTTCAGAATGATAGGCCTTGGAAAATAACAAAAGTAAAATTAAGCCACTATTTTTTCTTCGCTTTTATAAAACTTTTCTTTTACTTTCTACCAATTTTCAAATTAATTTCTTACAATTTTAAGTCGAAACTCTAAACACATGAATACCTGCATAACATTGACTTCGCTGTCTTTCTTTTTCTTTCTGCATTTTCTTGCAGCTCGTCGATTTTGCTCTTGGCGTCGGAGTTTTCGTTCTTTTTCTGGTTCTGTTAGAGGCTACAAGGAATGAACCAAAATTAATTAAATTTTGGCATTTGAAACTTTTCTTTTCTACCATATTTTTGCAAGTCATATTACATTTTAGAAGTAAAATCTTCACTTGCCCTTTTTACTTGTGGTTTCTTTTCTTCGAATATAACATCCCCTTTCCCTTCTTTGTTTCTTCGTGAGAGAATGGATAGACGCAGCTCCTCTTTAATAAGAGGCATTATGTTTTTCTCTCTCCCAGCTTGGTCAACAGCTTTTCGCAAACGTGGATCACTAACATCATCGAAGACTGCATCATCAAGCCCGTCCAACATTTCGCTGTCATCGCTGAGGACGCTTCCAGAAGACGCCAGTCTTTCGCGATGCGAGGATCTGGAGTCCATCATCGGTAAATTTCCTGAAAATGCATGAAAATAATTGAAGTTGTCTCCAGGGAATCCATTTCTACTTATGTCTACTGGGTAATAATTTGCAGGGGAATAAAAATTATGTGGGTAGGAACCCCAAATTGGCGTGGGCTGTTTATGAAACATGGTGCGCAGGCGGCTGCTCGAGGTTAGACTGCAAAAGCCAGGCGAATCGCCTTAAACTTTATACGGACTAGTCGCAGTTAACACCAAGATCAGTAAACAGCGCAGGCCAAGATTATGACATTAGCACGATCTTTTAATCTGATTTGTTTCAAAAGAAAACGATTGACCATGGAGATGACCATTAATTACCCTTGGGTTTTTGGCCACCCAAGAGGTGCTTGCTGGTCTGGTTTGGTGTTGTAACATCGCTTTCTGATATAATGTTTGATCAATTTAAAACCATCCCTAGCTCTATTACACACCATAATTTTTTTCAAGTCTTCTTAAAAGTGCAATAATGACATAAATTTTAATTTTATCATTTAAATCAAAGTTGTCTCACTTTTCAGTGAACATCTGCATAATAACACACATTAAAAGCAAATAATTATTTGACATTTCCCTCCCATATTGCAAAACTTTATAGAAAATAATTATATCTTTTGCACGTGTTGAAATCCTTTGTTGATCATCTCTTTTCTATTTTCTTGTAGGTTTTTTTTCTGAGTTCTAGAGCCACCGTGGTACACTGGACCAATGGATGACTCATGCTACTGTAGGTTCTGGACGTCGACCAACTTACAAAGAAAAATAAAACAACTCCAAAGTTGACGTTTAGAACATCTTCCAAAAACTAGGATCAGGATAAAAAGGACTTTTGTTATAATGTGATTTTATTCTTCTCTTGGTAAGTTTATTTTATTCCTGTTTTAAGTTGCAAATTAGACAAAGTCTACTAATTGTAATCCAATCACAATACGCTTTAAGCCTTTTCATAAACTTTCAAAAGGTTTGATTGTAAGCCGCACAATGAATGAAAACCCATTTAGACTTTATTATTGTTAATTTGTTCAAAGATCTCCTGCTTGTTTAGTCCATTGATCTAGAAGCATTATCTTATTACCATATTTAATAAGCAATCTCTCTTGACCGCAAATGAGTCAGCTGGTGTATTAGGTGATACATAAGTCTCGCCGACAACCAAGTTGAGGCTTTCAAAAGCCTTTGCGACCCATATCACTAAGTTGTATCTATGTAGTAAGAATAAGTCACGCACCTTACAAAGCAAAGTGCAGCCAACAAAAACTGGGCCGTGTCTTCCTACTGTGTACGAAAACTTATCATTAGAGATTTAAAGAGACATAATAATAATTCGCACTATTGAGAGTCAGACGAGCGAATCCAGAAAATGACATGTAGTCTGATGGTCAAGATAAGGCGGTGAACACGGAAGACGACATGGCAGCGCGCGTGGGGATAAATGACAAAGTAAAAATTAATCTATCTACATCTCCCCAAAACCCGATCAATCGTGTCTAAGACTTAACAAAACATCTCTTTTCGCTCACATAATCAGGGAAAAAACAGAAATAGCTTCAGGTTGTAATTTACCTGTAACCTTTACCGTTCGAAAGAAAAGAAACATTGGTGGTATTGAAGTGAAGTTTTCGCGGGCTAAAACTATATAAAATCGAGAATAACCTTGACGTAAGAACGATATAAAGCTGTCAAAATTCACACGGACACAGCGCCGCGATGCCATCCTTCTTCCATACTAATGACAGAAACAGGTATTGCACAAGCTCGTGGATGAACCCCGACAATATCTGCCCTTTAGGTCAGCGCCAATCAACAGCTCTGCGTAAGATTGTAAGGTGCCTGTCAAACGTGCTAATAGACATCATGTGTATAAGTCATCTCTTAATTTAGCGCACCTTTTTTTTCACTTTTTCTTTATTTTTTCCAAACTTCTAAAAAAACCCTTCTTAATAATACGAGTGATGCTCAAAGTAGGGCTAATGTTCCGCGAAGTTAAATGACCAAGTAATCCTGCACTTTTAATGCAAGGAGATTTAATAGAAAGGGACTGCAGGCGAGAAATTAGATTTAAAGAGGTCATTGCACTACGGTGCACTTGTTATTTCCACTCGTGTATTTACTATTACTACTATTACGCTACACCTCCGAAACAGAAACCATTATTTGTAAAAGATAAGACAGATAAGTAAACCCAGGTTTTACAGGTAATTTTTTTTTAAACAGTTATTTTTTTTCCCCATGTGGCTTTCTTTTATTACATAGAATTAAGAGTAATTATATGCATAGATTATTCAAAACAAGATCGTTTCTCAGACGTAATGCCAGTTACATCATACACCTCTTCCCCTGCTAAATAATATATTAAGAAAAGTTTAGAACTCTCAAAGGCCTTCTTTTTTTTTTTTAAAGAGAGTTTAAAAGAATACGTTTATGGTACATCGATGTTTTATTCCCCTTCTCTTCCTTTTTAAATATAATAAATAATGTTTTTTAAATGTTTTATCGCATCTTTCTTGTCGCCTAGTTTATATACATCTAGAATAAATAATTATATTATTAAAAACGTCAAAGTTCTTAAAAATAATAAAATTTGTATATTGAGTTATAATTGTGTTTCGCTTTGTAATACAGTTATTCATCGTCGATCTGTTATTAAATGTTGAAAAAAAAATATTTTCATAAAAATTTCTAGTTTGAGTAATCCATGTAGTGCTTTATTTTTCTAATGCATCAATAATGTATACTGTATTCTCTTACATACAATTTTTTTTTTTTTTTACTAAGTATATATTTCTCTTAATTTTATACACAATGACAGTACATAATATATCATAATGATAAAAACAAATTGATTCCTAAATTAACGTTGCAGGATTCTTTAAAAAAAAAAAAAATCCATGTTATGGCATTTGAAGCAACATTAATGTGGCACAACATAATACCTTTATGTTGTGTAAAATTCTGCACTTCTTAAAAACAAACTCCATCTAAAAACAACAAGTATCTTGCAGGCATCTGATAAATTCTAGCAGCTCTCCGCATCACAAAAAACATTATCATCATACAAACGCACTTCAATTGAACACGTGTTCAAAATAAACAGATGAAAAAAATATATATATAAAGTTTGAGCACAAAGAAAAATGATATAAAGAATATAGATACATACCATCAAAGTAAGGAAATAATAATTAAAGATCCGACAATCAAATTTATGTTTTATTTTGTCCCATTTAGATGGGTTAGTGTGTCAGTCAACTCATAACTTCCGAATGACACAAAAAGACAATACCTGCATCATATTAGGAGAGAAACACGTGACAATGTTTTGGGAAGTACCTGCTCTAATATTGAATTTTATCACCACTTTCTGATTTGCATTACGCGCCATGTAATAAATTGCGCAGTTTTTTTATTTCGTGCAGATAAGCTTTTGACACTCGACACAGATACAGACCACGTGCATGTATATATATAATATACACAAGAGAGGATCTTTTGAAAAAGGTCTTTAAACGAAGTGGGATAATTAAACTTTACCTTGTCATGGAAGTACTTTTTAGGCGCTTCGGTAGTCTTTAGGCCTCGCCCCACTGGCTCGTGCACTCTGATGTAAACAATGATTTGAGTGCGCAACTACTCGCGACTTTTACTACACATCAGCTGTGTATCGTATTTTTTCAAGTACTGGCTTGCGAACGATCTGATGACACGATAGAGGGGCGGGATTAACTTTCTCGCGATTGGATGATTAAGTTGCGAAAATAAACCCCACTTTTAAAAATATCCTACAACCTTACAAAAAAAGTTCATGAAATACGATCACAATTCAATGGCTATCATTTAGATATGGAACCTTGGAGACAATATACACTCTTAATATTCAAGGCCAAAACATTGCACCAGCAACTAAAATAGATCACCCTAATGGGGATTTCCAAGTCTTTCATAATATATAAACATGGTTATATTTAGGCCAGGTTCTCTTGATTTAGGACACTCTCTTATGGTCCACTAGCACGAAAGGTGTTACTCTCTTATGTAGACCAGGTAGAGTTCGCGACGACTTAGGGAACGACTCTCTGGGGGGCATTTTACATCTTCGTCAAGTCTGTCTACTCTCGATTGAAATCAAGCGTGAAGAACAAAACAGACTGACGTTTATCAAACTTTGGTTATTAGCATATTCATTTGCATGCGCATTAAACGTGTAAACTTATTTCTCTTTCCACGTCGGGGTCAATTATCTATAAATAAAGCTGCTTCTCTGTTGTTGCTTGGACGGCCTAGCCAGACATATACAAACGTATATGTATACAGATAAAGTCTTTGTTTAAATATCTTTCAATTTCTACTCAGACACCTGTAAAGTTTCGTTTATTTTCATGATAATAGTATTAGTTATGTTTCTGACATCACGAGCGGTATTATATTATTAATTCGCCATGGTTACAGACGGAAGCAAATGCATGAATCATTGTGTATAGTGGAGCTCAGTCTCTTTGTGAGGTTTCTATTCTTATCCGGCCACGCACCTGCAATTTGATGTTGCTAGTTTGTAATGACATATATTTACAACTCATCAACAATTGTTTACTCAAGCATGAAGTTCAGGGAGTTTGTTGGTCTCGATTACTAACCTAGTGAAGAATATCGAACAGTGTACACATAATATCATGACTCAGAGAGCGCAGCGCGCTCGGCGAATTAATACTAGAAAGTGTCTTTGAAAAACAATAAAAAATATAAAATAATCACGTCGTTCTGATTTAAAAAACAAAATAAGGAAGTTGCATAATTGTTTGCAATTGTATTACAGCACTTGAGGGAATATAAAATGCATTGAAATGATAAATATTACATCAACAAAAATAGAATTTTAAAAAAAAAACTTATTTCTTCCAGACATTCGTGAAAATAATACAATATTGAACGCTAAGAAATCAATAGAAGAAGAATTTTTTTTTTCAAAAGACATGAAACACCGGCGTAGAATATCAAAGGGATATTAATTATGTAACAAAAGGTTTAATCTTTTAATGAATTATTTTTTAGTTCTTTATTTGATTAGACGTTCATATATCATTGGCATTAAGACATTTCAAAAGTTTATAGAAATTTCACACCTACTGGAAAAAGGACACAAATGACATAAGGCTTAGGACGAATCAGATAATTAGAAATAACAAATTTATCGGTCTTCGCTAGATTTATATCCGTTGAGGGTTTTCGTGTCTTAAGTAAAGATCACTCAATACACATTTATCATATGCACAATTAGAATAATGAATTGTCAATTGAATCACTCGTTTTCTTAGGCATTGCTTTGTGGCCTGAACTTGAACTTCTCTTCAATTTTAACGTTTACTTAATTGTTCAAATGTGATCGTTTTATATATTTTAAAAATTCTTTCGAATTTATACAGTATGATAGTAGGAGGCATAAAAAGTTGGTAATATTTGATCAGAAACTAGTTTTTTTGTCTAATTAGTTGTAAATATATTAACTTCCGCTCTGTGGATTGTTGCATAAGAAGATTCATTTTCAGTAATCAATTTAAGTATGCAAATGTATGTATAAATGCTATCAGTATTACTCTTGCACAAGTTTAATAATTGTTAAAAGTGCTTAAATTTTCTAAGTGAAAAAATAAACATTTTACCTTATTTTCTCTGTTAAAAGATTGTCTTATCCCGCAAAGGCAACTATTCGAGAAAATTGTCCCGCCAAAGCGTTGACCTTGCTAATATACAGATGACGCAATAGAAAATTTCCCGCCTTTTTATCGCTTAACATATGCGTTTATTCTCATTATCTCCTCTGCGTTCTAAATATGAAATATCGAAAATGTACAAGCTTAAAGTGATGTTCACCAAATGTAATATTGTACTATAGAGTTTATTACAAGTTTTTATTTAAAGATTTGTATTGTTCAAAAATGTTTTCTGACAGCCAAAATTTTAACACACACACACACGCACGCGCGCGTGCGCGATAGTTTGATTTAATACACAAGTATTTGCTCTCCAACAAAATTACAAAACTAACTTTATACCAAATTAAAATGATTGAGTTCTTCTTTCATCCCAACTAGGGGACTATGGTTTAATGTTTGTTATAAACAAAATACATAACAAATTTCACTTTCTTGCACACTAATTGAGGATAAAGATAAGTTCACTAAAGTTTTTATTTAAATAGAAAACGAAAATAACAAATACAAGTCAGCATAAGAAAAACAACAAATAAATATGCAGGTATTGCATGTATAGCATTAGAAATTTTTCAATTAATATTTTGCTGAAAACTTTAGATTAATTGATAGCAATCCTGTCTAGAAAGTTTGAATATTATGTCAAATGTACAATTTTTAATTTCTTGCACACTATTTGAGGTGGAAAGCCAGCGTAATGTTGGTTTCCTATGTTTTTTTTTAAAACAACAATTTAAAAAAGTTCGATTTAAAACATATTCTTATGTTTAATGAGGAGTGCAATATTTTATATTGTATTGTTTTGTTTTGTTTGTATTTCCTTTCTTTTTTTCTGTTTGTTATCCCTTTGATATTTGTTTTGTTTGTCAATTTGTGTTTCATTTTGGCAGATCATTTATTTCGATGTGTACAGTAAATCATTTATGTCTTGTTATATTAGTCAAATACAATTGAATATATCTTTTGTAATGAGACAGAAATCTATTAGTTCAAATAAATTTTTTTTTTTGCATGATTTGAAAAGAGTTCAATATCCCCGTTCTTTGTCGTTTACTTAATTGAATCTCAGCTTGTATCTTAATCAAAATCTTTAAAAACCTAATTTTAACCAGCTTGTAGTGTCTTCTTCAATAGAGACACATTATTTATGTCACTATTTTGTGTTGTGTCTATTATTTAAATCAGTTTTCTTGTTCCTATCCTGAATCAGAAAGAAAACAAAGCACCTTTAAATATATTTATTAATTTTTTCCATTAAGAATGCTTTTGATGCCATATCGAACCGGTAACTCTATTGTATACGCTTTAATTATGTTTTAGTTTGTGGACGCAGTCAGAAAATTTCTATAGAAACAATTAGAAATTTCTGGCAAACGAGAATTACTTTTGCTCTATTAAACAGACATTGACACTTTTTACCTCTCCAGGACAAAAAAGGTCATTGAAGGACATGTATATTGTGACTAGTTATCATTAGGAGAGATATATGTAAGTGCCAACTTTTACTATGAACCTGAAGACTGAAAAAAATAACGAATATCAATTAGCATTAGAGATATTCATATAGAACATGTATAGCATATATAGAAAAATTTCAAAAAAAATTGCTGAAATATTTGTTGTTTAATTAATACCAGTCCTGTCGAGAAAGTATGAATGCAACTATTATGTCAAATGTACATTTGAAATAAAAGTGGTTACTAAAAATTTCCACATCTACATTAATTTTATTCGTTTTTCAAGGTAAGTATACTTGCTAAGTTGCGCTTTATGGATATAATTGTTAATAAACTCTAAAGGAAGATAATATATATCACGTTTTCAAAAAGAAACGTTTCCCTTAAAACTTCCTAATATTTACGTATCAACCTTTACCATTTCATCCCAAGCATATGTCCAAATATGGACATGACGCCTCCTACCATTTCAGATAAAACATGTTCAAATATAGACATGATACCATTAAATGCTAATGTAAATAATTTTTTTCTGATAAAAATAAACAGAATGAAATGTAAATTAAACTTCATTCGAAATAGTGTAGCATATCCAATAGTTTGACTTTGAAAAAGAAAACGAAAGATATTATACTTGGAAATACCGAAAATGCAGCCTAAGTACTAAATTAATACATGCAATAAATATACTTTAAATATAGTAATGATGATAAAGCACATTTATGAAGACGATACATTGGATTGCTTTTTTATGTTACACAGTTTTGTGATTTTGTGTTCTAAAAAATTATCTCTAGTAATTTTTACTACTTCTATCGTTGAATGCTTTTATATAAATATTATTTTAAATGAATTAAACTATGATAATACCGACAACTTAAAAATATTGGTCAGAAAACGAAATTCTTGGAAATTCCCTAGACTAATATTTTTTTCCTCTTCATAGAGAAATTGGACAAAAAGCGACGTATATTGAAATTCGGGGGAAAAAATATTACCCGTTATGTCAGTAGTTTTGCAACTAGAAAAATCACTTTTTATACCTTTAATTTATTACTAGTATTTAGAATTTAGAACGTACGCGAACAAAACTTGATTTTTTTTCACAGAGAATTCTAATACATGCATGAAAACCAATTTTTAATTCTAATTATAAAGTTAGACAATGAAACGGTTTGAACCTCGAACAAATCACCTTCAGATCATGCAAAGAAAACACCCGATTGTCGGTCAATATTAGGGAAAAAATATAAATTAATACAGATTTTAATTACATACAAATGTTGTTTTTATTAAAGCAGTTACCTTTTTTGAAATTTTATCGCTAGCTATTCCAAACATCTAATATACAAAATTTTCTTTCTGCAATCAAATAGGAAACGGGAAGCAAGGGGGGTTTTGAGGAAGCGGGATTTTAATTTAGTATTTAACACAAAGATTTAATGGTTAACTGAACCATAAGTCTTTAAGGAAAAAGCCGTTTATAAATGACATTGGGTAATAGTGTTTGCATGGGAAACAAATCTGGTTTGTTAGTCATTAAACACACACATTTGTATAAGACTATATTTATTGAATGTTTGTTCCAAAATGACTTCTCATTCAAGCACTAATCGCTGTTGGGTATAAGCATAAGTCAGTGGTCATATTTAAATCAGATAAATTTTATTTTGTCTTTTCGTAATACCCTAAAACCGCTACCTTGCACAGGATTTTAAATAAAATACTTCGTCTTTTTCTTGCAATGACGTGATTCATATTTTATTATAATTTATTTATTTTTGCTGTGTTGATTTGGAAAATTCATTTAATTTTCGGTATTAAAAGTTTTAGATGTATTTGCTATGATTTTAATTCATTGCTGAAATTGACATATATAAATCTCACCATATTTTTGTTTAATTATGCAGAGTTTTGCATGCATAATATAGATGCCTTTTGGAAATAATGTGTCTTTAACCGTACATCAACTATCACTTGACTTTTTTTTATACAACAAGAGTTGAATTCAATTTATGCATAAAATTAACCAATCAACATGCAATTTCAAATCATTGTCCTGTTTCTAACATTTAGATAAAAGTGTCATGCTTTCAGGCTTACATGTAGAAAAAAAGTTATTTCCGAAAAATAGCAAATGAAATAACTATAATTGTAAGTTGCAATACTGATGAAACAGGAA